TTGAGGGAAGCTGTCAAAAGAGAGTTCATGTCGCTAGTTTTTCTTGCGCCGCTTTTACACTGCAATTTGGCGGCAGGAGTCTGCCCACATGTGATTTGCACTGATGCTTCTGAAACTGGGGGATCGTTGGAAACAAGCAGCAAATTGACGGAGGTAGGCTTAGATTTCCTGCAAGCTAGTGAAAAGTTGGAATATCAGAGGTCTACAACAGTGGCACCTATACTCATTGTCAGTTTGTTCAACGGCATAGGAGGGTCGTTTAGGTGCTACGACCTGGCAGGTATCACTCCTATGGGACGAATCGCAGCAGAGCTGGATGATGCCGGAAATCGCATCACGCAGAGGCGTTGGCCAGGAACAATCATTGTGAAGGACGTGAAGGACATAACTAGAAAACAAGTTCAAATTTGGAGCAGAAAATTTTTGGAAATTGAGGAGATTCACATATGGGCCGGTTGGCCTTGCGTGGATTTATCAGCAGTGAAATTTGGACGTCAGAATCTGCAAGGACCGCAAAGTAGTTTATTTTGGGAAATCCCACGAGTCAAACAACTATTCACTGAAGAATTTGGAGAGCACGTCCAAGTCAAGCATGTTTTGGAAAACGTTGCATCAATGGATGAATCTGCAGCAAGTGAGATTTCGAATGAAATGGGAACGCTACCATATAAGTTGGACTGTGCTGACGCTGTTCCTATGAGACGTCCAAGGTTTGCATGGACTTCAGAAAAACTGGAGGGATGCCTGACTGGAATTACCGTAGAAAATAAACGATACTGGAAGGAAGTCCATGCCCCCGCAAGTTATCCTTCTACAGAGCAGTGGATTACAGAAGGGTATCAATGGCTTGGAGAATCAACTGGAGCCATTTTTCCAACTTGCCTTAAAAGCATTCCGAGAAATGCGCCACCACCGAAGCCAGCAGGGTTAGAGAAAACAGATGGAGCTACAAGGGAAAGATGGCGCTTGGACAGTTTTCGTTACCCCCCATATCAGTATGATCAGCGTTTTCTTATTACAAGTGAAAGTTCATGGAGATTGCTGAATGCCACTGAAAAGGAGCTGTTGTTAGGGTATGGTTTTGAACATACACGCTTAGCATGGAGCACGTCAAAGGCCAAACAAAACAAACTGGGATTTTCTGACTGTCGACATCGATTACTTGGGGATTCTTTCAGTTGCTTCTCATTTGTCATCTTAGCTGTTGCTTGTTCACTACGACATTTGCCACAACTAGCGTATTCGCACTTAGCTTCTCGAATGGGCATGGCTCCAGGTTTCTGTGCACATATCCGCAGTGTTGCACCTTTGCAACGGCGACTTTGTTATGGTACAGCTTCAGTGGAAGAGAAATATCGAGACAATGGAATTGGTTTATTGAACAGGATGTTATTAAGGCGTACTAATCACACGGGGTCTGACATAAGGGTATTGACAGGAGAGATTTTTAACAGCAAAACATTTCCCAGGGAGTCCTTATCGTCCTCGTGGTGGACTTGGTCGCATGGATTTGACACCAAATGGAAGCAACGTAGCCACATTAATGTTTTGGAATTGGAGATGATCCTGCTGGGGGTTAAATTTCAGATTAGCCGGTTTCATGCAAGAGATATGCGCATCTTTCAACTCACTGACTCTTACATTGGTTTGAGTGTGACAAGTAAGGGTCGTACCAGCAGCAAGCAACTGACAAGGGTGCTTAATAGTATTTCTGCGCACTTGTTAGGCCATGGACTGCAACTCGTATTAGGCCACCTGGATTCAGGTGACAACCCGGCAGATGAGGGTTCCAGACGTTAAAAAGCCTCGTTTGCTCGCTGGCAGATTTAGCCGTGCAGAGCGTCGCAGACAAAGGGCAAAAATTTCATTGGATGAGGCAGCACTAACATATAAAACACAGGTGCGTTACTACACAGCACTTCGCAAAATGATCACTTTTGTGGAACAAGCAAGGAATGAAGATCATTTGGACACGTTGCTGTGTAATTGGATCAGAAAAATGTGGTATAAAGGTGAGCCTCTTCTGACAATTGGTGATGGGCTTAGCGCTTTGCACTTTTTCCAGCCTTGGACCAGGAGAAAAATTCCTCACAGTTGGAAGCTATTCTCTGTTTGGAGAAAAGTGGAAATCCCAAGCAGGGCTCCACCACTTACATGGGAATTGGTTTCCAGTATGGCAGCGTATGAATGGGAGCACCATAATTTTCAAATGGCTGTCTTGTTGTTAGTTTCGTTTCACTGTTTATTGCGTACGGGAGAATGTCTGTCCATCACTCCAAGCGATGTGGCACTGGGGCCTACAGAGGGGATTTTGTCCTTGAAGGGGACGAAGACAGGACTTCGCCATAATGCTGATGAAGCTATTAGCATTACTCACCCTTTGGTGCTTGAATTCTTGCGGGTCTTGGTGGAAACAAGACATGTACTAAATACTGTTTCTTTGCCCATTTGGACAGGTACTGCAGCTCAATTTCGCAGCCGTTTTCAAACGTTGGTTGAACTCATGGGGCTCGAAACCCACAACTTCAGACCTTATTCATTGAGAAGGGGAGGTGCGACAGACATGTTTCAACAAACAAAATCTATGGAGGCAGCTTTGATACGTGGACGTTGGGAAAGTTCAAGAGTGGCCCGTTTATATATCTCCGATGGCCTCAGCTATCTTCCAACGATAAAGATGTCTGAGCATACCAAGCTTTTTCTTCACACATTCAATTTACAAACGTTCACAAAGTGAACATGGACACTCTGTTTGGATGCGTGGAAATGCTGGTTTTGCTGGTTCTACCGTGCATTTCCTTAAGGGATTCTTTGCAGGTTTTCTTGACGGTTAAATGACCTCTACCAGGAGGGATTACTTTTTCCGCTTCCAGGCGGTTCAGATAAAGTCTTCTGCCAGGAAGACAAAATAAATGAATATAGTCCAGAGCTAGGACTATACGAGGTTTCTACTTGGCGAGACAACATGTCTCATTGCAGAGCCAACCGCTTGGCAATCAAAAAGACTGAGCTGCACTGCACACAAGAAAGTTCCTAGAACGCTTTGTGTAAAGGCATGCTCAATAATTTGATTGCTGTGGGTCATTTTAGGTTCAAACCAGACCCCAACCAGCTCCCTCCCACAGTCTGGTTTTGCTGGTTCTACCGTGCATTTCTTTAAGGGATTCTTTGCAGGTTTTCTTGACGGTTAAATGACCTCTACCAGGAGGGATTACTTTTTCCGCTTCCAGGCGGTTCAGATAAAGTCTTCTGCCAGGAAGACAAAATAAATGAATATAGTCCAGAGCTAGGACTATACGAGGTTTCTACTTGGCGAGACAACATGTCTCATTGCAGAGCCAACCGCTTGGCAATCAAAAAGACTGAGCTGCACTGCACACAAGGTTTTGTGGAACTTAGATCTCCGACGAGAGGATGTAGAACAGTTTCGAAGCTTCTTGTGTGGCTCTTATCCCTTGTTTCCAGAAGGTTTGAGCATATGTCAATTCCCCGATGCAACCTCGTTGCGCAGATGGAAAGAACGACTCTTTCTGTGCGGTTTTAGTTTGCAGCAGGACAGTGGTGCTTTTTATTTGGCTTGGGAAAAAACTCGCTCAGATGCCAACCTGCCGCAGCCTCATTACTTCTACCATGTGCATTTTCCGGATGCAAAGAAGCGACGTCGTTCAAATAGTCCAGGTGCCTGGTGGGGTTTGCCGAAGGATGTTTGGAACAGCCCAAACAGTGAGACTCACAAGCGCTTCAAGCGATCGCTTGGTTTTTCGCAGAGAGCGTCAAGAAGCCATGGTCACATTTCAGCGAATATTGGGCAATCGTTGCTTGGGACATCCGGACTCGTGGGATTCGCCGCCACGAACTAGATCCAAGAAGATCCATGTAATTATATAATATTATATAAATATATATATATATATATTTGACTCTGTGAATATGCAATTCTATTCATGCAAGGGTCCAGACGATCAGGCTAGAGCAACAAATTGGCATGTGACTTGGAGTGTCAACCCACTCTGGGAGCACACAGCTGAATTGGCTCCATCTCTTGTCGATGTGGGGCATTCCGCTGGGCATCAGTATGGGCTTGCGTCTTCCATTGAACACATGATGGATCAAGCAGCCGCATGGTATGATCAGTTTGAGGTGAATGCCCTGATCCGCTTCAGGTGCAAAAGGACGTCACTCCTGAAGGATCTGAAACAGATTTAGTTACCCAGTACCTGGAGTACCTCATCCAGGCGATGAGCGGTGCACTTCGGCTTAAGAGGATTTGTTGCAGAATACAACTGTGAAATACTGTGAACACCAAGGTCATGAAAGGTCATGAGGTGACTGAATTGAATTCGAGATCTTGGGAAGTCTTCCACGAAAACATCGGATTGATCACCTCACAGTGGCCCTGCTTGGTGCCATGGAACATTCCTGTGGAAATTCGTCTTCGACCAGTCAAGCTGCTGATCTTCTGGCAGTCATGCGACCTTGACAATATGCCTCTGCATGAATCGCCACTCCACATGGACTTTTCGAATACAGAGAAGTCATACTGGCAAATTGAGTCTGCCCTTCGAAGCTACTTCAGAGAGATGGGCCTGTGCCACTGTCGGTTGGGATTTCTCGAGAACTACGCTTTTCGTGAGCTGACGGTGAAGACTGTGACCAATCTAGTCACGAGTTCTTGGACAGATGGGCTTGATCCCATTACTCTTTCGGTCCATTTGTGGGACGTCATCGAAAGTTGAAGTGCCATTCCAATGCTTTGTCTCAAAAAGGTGCCACTTTCGAACTTTAGATACAAGCAGAGCCTGTTGTGCCCTTCGCAAGGGCCCAAAAGCCCTTCCCAGATTGGGGACAGGAAAGACAATATCATCGATTTAATAATTGATTGCCTCAAGGGACACTTCCAGAAGATTGATGTGGCACATGAATGCCACAAAATCATAAAAAATCAGTTATTTCTCAATTACACAATCACCGAATCTGACCACTCAGTGACTACTGCCTAGGGAGCCACGAGGGCAGCTCAGTCTGTCCGTGGGCCAAGTGGGCAAACACAGTGACAGACGGTCTTGTGGTGATTTCCTAGGTCCTAGAGGAGATTGGTGGACGTTGACGACGATGACGATGACAATGACGATGAGGAGGAGGAGGAGGAGGATGATGATGATGATGATGGTGATGGCCTTACACCTGAAGGGAACTGTGGCGGGTGGCCAGGCCGGAATCACTCGCAGATGTGCCGGCCAGCAGAGAAAGGCGCGGGTTACCAGCTGGGAATACCAGGAATAGCCATGGTTTGTTCATGTTTGTTCCATAGCAACAGGTCTTGGATCAAGATTGAGATTTTTTTGGAGAGGGACCCGCGGAGTTTAATGATCAATTTTTTGAGAGCCTTTTAAGTCTATAAGGCATACTTCGTCCACCGTTTGGAGGACCTTCCCCGAAATCTAGCTTTCAGGCCTAACGCTTGCAGGGGTCACATCACTCAATTTGTTTGGCTTTTCTGGCTGAAGCATAGCTCTCTATGCTATGTATTTCTTCGGGTTTCGCACTTTCTGACGAAGAATTCCATCTCAGTATGCATGCATTTCTTGCTTATCCAGCGATTGAAACTCGGCAGGATGATTTACATGTCTCTCACCCACGGAGGTGCGGCTTCGTTGCCTGCTCATCAAACAGATGCTCTCACAGCACTTGTTTCATGATTAAGCCAAGGTCGACGTAGACCCCAACTTCATGATCAAACCTGGATACAGCCAGCGCTGGAAGCTGAACTGCTGGCAAGACAGATCCTTGGGAACCCTTGATGACCCTTGATGGCAGTTGACCCTGGCAAGGTTTGGAGGTTTGGATTTCAGGATTGTCAGGACTGCGCTGTATGGGCTAGCTCAGCTCACAAACTTTCTGCCCATGATTGCTTGCTGCAATTCCTTACACTGTAACGTGCTAGGAAACTTCGAGAAATCCTGGATTTTTACATGCATCCTTTCAGCAGGGAACCAAGCAGCCAAGTTTGTGCGAAACGTTTGACACATACCACATATATGTTTTAATGGGAAACTTGCTCATCAACCATGGTCTTTTCAAGAGGCATTATATAAATCTAGGGCTGGGGGTGGTTCACTTCCCACGCTGCTGTTGGGAGCAATGAGAACGAGAATCCATTTTTTCATACGATCGTGGTATCAGATGCATGGCATGACTGAAACCAGATGCTTTTGAGGCATTCAACACAATGCTTTGCTTCGTCATGGGGCAGAACAGGCAGCTCCGCCAATCGCAGCATGGCCTCATGGCTATTGGCAATCCATAACAACTTGGGTGTCGAGGATGTTTTTACATCAATAAGAATTCAATGAGACCATTTGCTCCTCACGTTTGTCCAACTTGCCTGAAATCAGCCATATAGTGCCAAAGACTTAGCCAGTTGGGACTGTTCCATTTCCTCCCTTTCTATCCTTCTCTATTCTTTTTGCATCTTTTTTCTACACCTGAAGAGAGAGCATCTAGCGCATCTAGCTGTGCAGGCTCAGGTGTTTCCCGGAGCCACTTCCCTCCGTCTGGATGCTGCTTCCAAAGAGCCCGGAGCAGCACCAGGGGTCCTGTGAAGCCGCAGCTGCCCGGGGTCGAGCTATGGCAGTGATGAGTCCATGGGTGGATGGATGACAGCGACCATGCGGACCTTGGGATTGGTCCCATTGGTCGAATTATTCCCATTGTCTCAGCTGAGAGGTGCCAATGGCAAGAAGCTCTGACAGGTTTTGAGAGGCTGCGCAATCAGGCCTGGACTACCCAGACCCCAATAAACTGCTTCCTGGTGGGCTTCCATATTTCTGGTTTACCCAATTGTTCCTTCGATTCTGTTTCAATTCATCTATTGCTTCTCTCGTTTTTTTTTCCCAATGTTGGCCCCCTGCTTGTAGGGTCTGGAAAGTGTCGTGAGCTATGGTGCTGCAATGGCTGCTATATCCAAAGAGACTCGCCCACAGTCATTATGGCTGGACCGGTGGCAGTTGACGCAGTCGCTATTCGAGAAGCTTTCACTTCGCCAAATTCGAAGGTCTGTCATCATTTTCAACACGATGAGTTCCGCGGCTGTGCGACGCCAGCAGTGGGAGATCTCTCTGTGCCTACTAGGACAACTAACTCGTAAAAAAGTTGTTTTGTTCTGAGCTTGATGATAGTTTGAGCATGTTTGAGCTGGAATTTCCGAAATCCTTCTGTGCAACTTGCATTGTTGGCAAATGCTGGCGATAGAGTCACCGATTTACAACTTGCAAGGGGTCTGTTTTTATCACTATCACGTACTATCACCTGTTTGCCTGAGCTGGGAAGTCAACCAACAGCTCTGACAGGACAGCTTGGAAGCAGAGCATTGAGGCCAACCCCACAATCCTACGGGTCGGCAATCTCTCAGTGGCAGAATTCGTTGCTGCTGCTGCGAGAGTGCCAGTCACAAATGCTGGAAAGCACGGTAATTCTTTACAACTCTGTGATCTCAAGCTTGGAACCAGGTGGTTGGCTGTTGGCTGTGAACTTGTTTTACCAGCTCCTGACCAATGGTTTGAACTGCACTAGTATCACCTACAATGCAGGAATTGCTGCGTTTTCGCAAGCATGGAGGAGGGCTCAGTGGAGCTTCAAAGAAATTCAGCTGATGGACCTCCGACATTCTGTTGTATCCTACAGTTCTTTAATTACTTCAATTGCTTCTAAGAAACACAGCTGGAGTGATGGTTTGGAAATCCTTGTGGAACTCTGCAGGGAGGATTTGCAGCCCAATGTGGTTACCTTTACCTCTGCCATCGCCACAGAGCGCTGGAACAGAGCTTTGGCCTTGTACACGGCCTGCGGGAAGAAGCAGGCCAATTGGGTTGATCATGGGGCCGCAACACAACGGTTGTTTGATACTGTTTGCGTTTAGATGTGTTTAGCATGAATGAACGAGGTATCCTCTCACTTGCCTTTTGCCTGAAAAACTGCGCGAGGTACAATCCAATCTCCTTTCCTACAATGCAGCGGTGAGTGCCACAGAGAAAAGTGGGAGATGGCAATGTGCAACAGACTTGCTGACTATTGGTGCGTGGTCAGGGCTGCAGACGGACGTGATTTCTTTCAATGCGGCGATCAGCGCATGCAACGCTGGGGATGCTTGGAAAGAGGCATTGGAAGTGCTTGCAGAGCTGCAGACAAGATCTTTGGATGCTGATATCATCAGTTTCAATTCTGCCATCAGCGCTTGTGAAAAGAGCCAAAGATGGCAACAGGCCCTGAGCTTATTGGCGGAAGCCCTTCAATCCAGTCCCTTGTTCCCAGATTTCCCAGATTCAACGCCGGCGAAAGCTTTGGTGCCCCCAAGTTTTTGGATCCAATCAGTTTCAGATGTGAGCAGTTTCCAAAACAGCTCATGTCAGTTGGCCCCACCCAGGTTTGAAATGCACAGCTGTAACTTGTAACGCCTGCATCAGCGCATGCGCATGTGGCGCGGCCTGGCCCTGGGCCTTGTGGCTCTTTGGGCAGATGACATTGCAAGGACCCTTGCCTTGGTGAAAATTTCATGGCTACTTGGAATTGGGTAGCAAGTAGGAACCAAAAGACTTAAACCATGCTTGAATATAGCATAATATAGCTTGAATCCGAATGTTGCAGTATGCAGCATGTGAAGGAGTGAGGTGAAGAGGATATTTGCAGCTGTTTCTGTTGATAAGTACCAACACACACCCTCATGAATCTTTGCTTATTTTTCTTGCTGGCGTGAACGTACACATATTAATTAACATGTTGGTTTTGGCAATGTTTGCAAATTGATGTTTTGCTCCCAGAATGGGTTCAAGGGGAAAACATACATGAAGTCTACCAATGTTAATATTTGAATGGTAAGCCCATGGTTTCCATAGGCTTCCCGTACACTTTTTCTTCAGCCAACCTCATTATTTTAGGACTGGAAGCTGATCTCACCTCTTCAAATGCCGCCATGAGTGCCTGTGAGAATGGCAGCCAATGGAAACAGGCATCTTGCCAGCGATGCCTGTTTTCATTCCACTCCTGCAACGGCATTTCACACCTCCCGGCCTTCAAACATACTTGTAGCAAGAAAGGATTATAATTTATAATATGTTATAAGCGGCTCTAGAGTGAGGTGGCCAAACAGATGGACATGATTTCTGATGGTCTGTGACATTATAGGTTTTTCAAAGTTTTTTTTTTTTTTAAATATGCTCTTGGGAAGTGACCAGCCGTGACGGCCATAGCATCAGGCTCTGCAGATTTTGGTGGATCTGGATGGCAGGAACATCCAGGCCCTCTCTGGAAGTCACAAGATGGATCTCAAGTTCAGTCGGTTGCCGTGAAGTCCATTCAACAGCCGATTCAAGATATATATATATATAAAATATGATATGTATGTATATATATATACATATTTAAGCAACCCTTCAATAAAATGTCGACATTTCATCCAACAGCAACTTCTCGTTCCTGTCCTCCCAGGCTGATGTCATTTCCCTCACAGCTGCCATCAGTGCCTGTGCTGCTGCCATGCGCTGGGAGGCAGTGCTGGCTTTGATGCTGCGAGGAGAAGGAAATGAAGCCACATACCATGCAGCGGTTGCTCGTAGAGCAAACAAACTCTGCCCCCAACTGAACTGCCCAATTTTTGCTACAGTTGTTTGAAGGTTGAATCTTTGCATGATCATCGAAGTTTCCCACCGTGGAAAAGTCAAGGTGACTTCTCCAAAGCCAATCACCCTGTAAGGTTGGGGCTTGCGAGCGAGCTGCCCAGTGGGCGCATGCGTCTTTCCTGCTGAGCCATTTTCGTTGGACTCTAAAGGTGGAAAAGAAGCGTCACCGCTCTGCAAGGACTACAAGAAAGATCCACGAAGCGATTGACACATGAAATTATATATACGAACGTTCAATGTTCATACATTTTACCATGTTTGATAGATTAAGCAAATAATACACTTTCAACTACCGTCTGAATCAATATTAAACAACTAGCAGCTACGGTCCTAATATTTAAACATATTTATCATACCCTACATGACTTTGTACCACGGGCAGCAATAGAACCTTGCCAGTTCTGCAGGTATGATTGTACCCTTTGCCATTGCAATGAATGTACCGATCCAACATTGGAAAAAAGTCCTGGAATTCTGCCAAATCCATTGAGACTTGAAAGGAGGGCTATCTATGAATCATGCCCCGTGCCTCTACGAATCAGTACAGCTTTTTTTTGCGTTTCATGGGGTTCCCATAGTACCCCGAAACAGTGGGAAGTTGCCGAAACCGCAAGGGCAGCTGGGCATGGCCTTTGAAACGCTTGGCCTCCCAATTACCGCGGGTGGAGGCCGGGTGATGCGACGAGTCGCCGGAATCCTGGAATCAACTTGAAACCTCCTTGGTGTATGTACTGAATGCAACTAAAACATGCACGTATGTACAGGTGTATATATATATATTATAGTATATACAGCTATATAGGCTACATACATACATGCATGCATGCATGCATGCATGCATCCAGACATCAGTACATACATACAGACATACAGACAGACATACAGACAGACATACAGACAGACGTACACATACATACAGACAGACATACAGACATACATACACATACACATATATACACATATATACACATACATACACACACATAGACATACATACATTACATTACATTACATGACATTACATGACATTACATGACATGACATGACATTACATTACATTACATTACATCACATACATACATTAATTACATACATACATTAATTGCATACATACATTAATTACATACATACATTAATTACATACATAAATTAATTAGATACATACATTAATTAGAGACATGCATTAATTACATACATACATTAATTACATACATACATTAATTACATACATACATTAATTACATACATACATTAATTACATGCATACATTAATTGCATACATACATTAATTAGATACATACATTAATTACATACATACATTATTTACATACATACATTAATTACATAGATACATTAATTACATACATACATTAATTACATACATACATTAATTACATACATACATTAATTACATACATACATTAATTACATACATACATTAATTACATACATACATACATACATACATCCATACATACATACATACATACATACATTCATACATACATTCATTCATACTTAGATAGATAGATAGATAGATAGATAGATAGATAGATAGGTACATAGATAGATTAGATTAGATTAGATTAGATTAGATAGATAGATAGATAGATAGATAAACATGTACATAATGCATATTTGTATACACATGTATACTGTATACGATATATGTATGTATCATCGTGTCATGTATCTCTGTAATTATACATGTATCTCAAAGTACGATAAGTTTGTCACAGGAAAGGCCTTCTTTAGGACAGTACATTTTTCACAGCTGTTTGGAGTTTGGAGTGTTTGCTGAAGCTTGTTGATCTTTGCACCGGCTGATAATGGTCTGATTCCAATCTCGCTCGCCCACGAAGCTGGAAGGTGATTCTTGCACCGGTGGACCTCTCACTCATGCCACGCCTTCTGCAAGCTCTTTGCGAGGACATTAGTCCGATATGACACGTGGTGAACAATTTCCGATGAGCTTGTGGCTTATGAGGTCTCTGGCGGCAGGAACACTTCTATTTGAGAATTGTCAGGAGCCAGGTGAGTACATGGAGATTGTGTCCAATGTTCTGACAAAGCAGCCCTTGGTAAAGCCAAGGTACACACCAGGCAGGTTTGGCCCCGTGATCATGCTGAGAAATCTGGAAGTGTTGGTGTTTAGATTGATGCACCAGCTGCGAAGTGACGCACTTTTTTGTTGGCCAATGTTGGCAACTGGTCATCAGGCGTCTGTGCCAGAGTCGACTTATCTCACTATGTCATGGGGTGTAAAGTGGATTCTGAAGTGACAAATAGATACAAATAAGGTACTGTAAAATAAGCGAAGACTCTTCATGGGCAATGTTTTTCCATCATGGATAAACCAGATCCAACTTTATATTGAAGGGCTGGACCACATCCACAGTATCCTTTTTTGAATTCACAACTCCCCAGCATGTTGCGACTGATTTTTTTCAGGATGATACAAGATTGAGACAGTCAAGCTGCTCAGCCACTAATGTCACATCCGGGTCACTGGAACATCAACGCCACAACCCTTGGCCCGCAACAGCCTGGCAGATTTTCGGATGCCAGTCGTGCGCTCCAGTGAAAGCTGGGTGCCCAAGCATTTTGCGGCCAATTACGAGGCGTGGCACGCAGCAACGCGGATGATATTTCAACAGCTGGATGGATGTGTAAAATGTCCAAGCCACTCAATTATTTCCAGGGAAGCAGCTTGCTTTTCTTGGTTGCTCGCTGCTGGTCCTGCAGGGCATCGCTTGGAAACGAGTGGTTGGACTTGTTTGGGGACCCACATATCCGAAGTCTCATCCAGATGCCAGGAAAGGCCACAAATTCCAGATGACGCGGCTGTGATTTTGTCCTACAACTTGCTATGCAAGCAGGTGCTACTGGGAGATCAGCAGCTATTGGAATTTTCACCAAAGGGATTGGGACGCTCAGGAACTTTTCAAGAGTTAGTGCTGTGTTGATGATCCGCAATATCCAAGTTCTAGTTGCTCTTATCCCCCAAGACCGTAACCCTTGTTAATGGCTTTTACATATGACACTGGCATATAAGTTATTTCATCCACGACTTTCACGACTTTCATATTGCTGTCATGATCCCATCCCTCGTCTCCTAGAGTCCTAGAGCTGGGTTTCTGGGGATGTTCCAGGTTAATTCACATTTTCCGTGGTTCCCACGATTGTATCTATATATGCCAAATATATGCACATACTATACGATATTATACGTATTTATACGTATAATTTGTATAATTCCCTTATATCTAAAAACACGACATGTATACATGCATCCATTTTTTGTGTTATAGTGGTTGACAACCCATATTTGTGTTCATCATCCTCATCAACTTCCCATCAACTTACCATGTTTGTTGGTGAAAACCAGGTGTTTCCCCAGGTTTTTTCACCACCAGGGCCCTGACCATTTGGCGCTCCAATCTTCTGGGACTGAAGCGTTTCTGCGGGCTCCGCGCTTGGCACGGCAGAGGTGCCCCGGGGTCGACACGGGGTTGATGTCCAAAAAGTGGGATAGGACTCTATATGATTCAATGGGTATCTAGGATACAATTTTATACCATTTTAACACAACCAAAGATATCCAAAGATCATCAAAATCAGGGTTTCATCGCCCAAACAACTAACAACAAGGGCTTCGCAGCCAAATTTCGGATTCAACTCTCCAAGAGTTGAAGGCCAAAATGGGTATGTAAGCACCAAGAATTACAGATACACTGATGCAGTCACCATCACAAAAGGGATTGCTGAACTTAAAGATGCTCCGAACTGAGATCCTGCCCAGATGTCCACACTCTTCAAACCTGACTAGGTAAAGGGGAGGTGCCAGCAGGAAGTTCGCTTCAGTTTTCCAACGATGATAGGACCTGTGATGATTCTATATTATATATTGTAATCTATGATTTTAAATACACAATTCTACTGTATTCTATTTAGGTTTGATTTTCATACGTTTGAATTGGGATGGTGCTACTCTTGGATTAGTCTTCTGACTGTGAAGCGTTGGCAGGTGGCGGTTCCGGGTGATGCGGCAGCTCGTCGCGTTCAAAGCCCAGCATGTCTTTTTGTTGCACGCTGCCCATGGAAATGATCCTTATCCCTTATGACAAATCCTCCACAAGATGAACGATGGTTGGTTCCGTCTCCATTTGAATGTATATTTATGTATAATGTGCTGTAATGTACTGTGTATATTTGTGTTAATATGTATATATATAATATGCATACATATGCAATGTAATTCTTATATATTGGTTGTTCATATTCCAACGTATCCAACGTGATTGGCTGTATGGCCAGAAAACATCTTCAACTCCAAGCGGCAGTGTTGTGAAAACATGACAGCCACAGAGAACCTCTCCGGGGTGACAGGTACCAGCCTGACATCATTTGCTTGCAGCATGTGGAGGTGCATATAATTCTGATAGAGAGAGTGGCCAAATGTCCGAAAAACCAAGGATTGTGAAAAGGAGCTGCCAAGTCAATAAATTACTTAAAATATCTTAAGATCATATATGAAATCATACAATCATGCGAATCATGATCACATGATGTTACATGTTCCTTTTCTTAAGCGATGTTTCGCAGTTTCGCATTTGATAATGCCAGAGGTCCATGTGATCGTTGCCGAAATAAATCTCACCCAAGTCCACACATGGATTTGTTCAGCACAGGCAGAGCTAAGCTCACCGTTCTGTAGCAGGACAGAAGGCACCAGCTGTGTGGTCAAAATTTGCACACGACCAAGTCACCAACACCTTTGGATATGCTGATATGTTTGAACTGGATTGTGCAGAACATGATCAACAGGACTCAAACCGATTCTAATTTGATCGAGATTAGGTTGCAGATGCTTTGGTGCACTGGCGCAGTGATTCTGTGATTTGCACGCACCTTTCACCAAGCCAGGCATGACTGGTCCAGTCCAACCCTCAATGACACACCTTCTGCTCAAAGGTCTAAAGAAATGGCTTGTGGCTTTTGTGGTTATGGCCCCAAAGCACGTGGCACATGAATGTTGATTTCCCTCCGATGGTCAAATAGGTATTGACCCTGACCCATCCCCATCCCATTTGATGGTTCTATCCCATTACCAACCTTTTTAACATCTTTTGACTGGTTAGTGAAACTTACCCGTTTGATTACCCAATATTCTCCACTCATCCAATGAATTCCCTTGTTGAGTGGTGTCTAACAGTCATTTTCGATGGTGAACGCCCCCGTATTCGATGGAGAAAAACCATCCCGTCCAGGTCAAACTGGCGAAAGGGGGACACCTGTGCGGAACTGAGGGCTGTTTGACTCTTCTTAGATGATGTTAGATGGACATCCATAGGACATCCATAGGATCGAGATGATTTTTGTGGATATATAGTGCCAATGACGATGGATTGTAAGACTTCATATTTTTTTTTGCATCCTCTGCCACGAAAGTTGCCGAAGATTCGTTCGAATGACCAGACATATTTTTGCTCGTAATAAACCAAGTTGGTGATGCAGCTCTGTGCATCCGTCATGGCTGTGAGGCTGAACGAGATCATCAAGAAACTTGAAGAGGAGGTTTCAAATGCTTTGCAGAACTTGAACTATGTACGTCGCTACATCAGTAACTAGATGACCCCGTCATACCATCATCAACTTATGTTACCAAAGCATCAACAACCACTTTTTACAAACAAAACCGAGTCATAAGTCATGAGTTATGATTGTGATTGATCATGATGTTGCAATCTGGATGGCAATAGCATCTTTAAATCAGGACTTTGATTGGTGTGCTGCACCGGCAGGGATCCCAGCTGTGGACTGCGGATGAATGGGTTTGGCACCAGTTGCCAATTAGGCTGTGAAACATGCTGGTTGTGTAATATCTACTATAGGAGTCACCCAGTGGTTGTTCAAGAGATAGATACTTGGCGGGGGACACCCCTCTTTCTGATTCACCAGCCACGGTACAGCCAGGGATCGACTGACTGGGCCAATGCAGTGGTGACCTCAGTGGGACTCAACCAGCTGGTGCCTGGCTCGAGAGCACCCTACTGGACTGGTTGAGTCTGCAACAGCTGAAGTGCACAGATGGTAACTGAATTAGTACTGAATTAGTACTGAATATTCTTGTTTTGGTATTCAATTTTCTACCCATAGCCATATGCTGATATGAATTGAACAGAAAGAGTCCCGGAGGTCTTCTGGAAACGCTCCAAGTGGTGCCTTCAGAATTGGGATGGTGTGGCGCCAAGGGACGGGATGAGCGATGGAGTTTCTGCTTGTGGATTTTGGATGTTGGCTGTGCTTGTGATGAATGGGACCTGAAATCTGACCCAGTTCGAAGATACACTGAATGACTTGATGCAGGTTGCATTTTTCTGCCCTTAAGTGTTGAAGTGTGAAAAGGGCTCAGCTGACTGAGTTGTACTGGTACTTGCTGAGGATTTGAGGGCAACAAGCAAGTGAGCCTTGTGCCAGCGATGGCTATGACCGATAGGGAGTCTTTTGCTTACAGCATGTTCATTTGGGGCAACATCATGAAGCTTGAACAAAGGACGCGCACGCACACACACACACATATATATATATACATACATATATATGTATATGTATATATATACATATATATATACATATATATATATATATATATGTATATATATACATATATATACATATATATATATACATATACATATATACATATATATATATTTATATATACATATATGTCTATATATATACATAACACACACACACATATATATACGTATGTATATATATATATGTATACATATACATACATCTACGTGTATATATATATGTGTATATATATATGTATATATATATGTATATGTATATATATACAGCAGCATAGCATCATATAATAGTCAGGTGGGAAAAGCTTGGGAACCATTGAAGAGCGTTCATCTAAGATAGCATCCGGATGCACTATTGCGTACTTTTCCGAGATTTGCTCCAGTCCACAGAATGTTGGACCCAGTCGAGCTTTTTGTTACATGTGGCATGTATCATTTGTTTGTAGGTGGTACTTGTTGCGAAGCACAGAATGGCTCAATAATTGCAGTTGTTGTGGTGCTGAGGCCTCTGACAATTGGCAACATGGCAGCTCAATGCGAAAAGGACGGGATGAACAAGCGGAACAAGGCCAACTAAATGTGGATGGGTGAAACTGGGTCCCATAGGAGACCGGATGGGTTAATGCTCAAAGTCATTCAAAGTCCAATTTTCAATGACATCAAGGGCATATCTCGCTCTGTCTAGTCGTCCTGTAGGCCCACTGGCTTTGACATCACTGTCCACGCAGGACTTCGGAGAAAACCTCGAGTCCATGCAGGCAAGCGGGGCACGATTTGCCACAGGATTGCACCAGGATATCCATGGACAGTCCATGGATGTAAATTTGGAAAGCGTTCGCTGACCACCTTAGCCACTGCTTCGTTTTGCGATTGGAGTCGCCAGAGCCTGAGCCTGGTAGTTTTTGGCTCCAAGAGTGTAGGCTTTTTCTCAATTTTTCATAGATCCGATCCGCCCAACAAACATGTACTGTAGCTATCTGTAGCTATGGGGAATGACTGGTGGGTCTGCTGGGTGAACTTCCAACCCTTCCTTTGACTAGGCGATGCTGCCGCCCTGGGAATCGGCCAGCGTGCTTTGTGCGGCATCAGGCTGAAATCAGGGAGAATGTAGTGCCACCTGCCAGACCAACCTTTCAGCGATTGGCATCAGAACAGAAGTGGCATGAAGTGGCCTTTGAAACGAGATTTTATAGCTAGCGTTGGTTAGCTTTAGATACGTGTTCCACCTGTTTTCTTGGAGCGGGCAGCTCTCACACATAATTTTGCTCATTTGCCTCACTCTTCCGAAGAATATCCACAAAATGATGCAAGCCCACTAATGGCAGTTTGTAGAAATCACTGCCTCCATCTACCACAAAGATGCGTGGTTTCCAAAAATAGTATTAGACATGCATAGACTGAAGATAGCACACAGGGGTGTGTATATGTTTATATACATTATATATATATATCATGATTACGCTACACACATATGTATATTTACTCCCAAGGTAGACATTATTTAGATACGCAATATACACAGGTACTGCGTGAAGCATACTATCATTTGTTTGCATTCCTCCAGGCATCGACATCTCGGATGGAGCAAGGGACATCTTGAAGAAGAAGGTCAGCTGCGGCCACATGTGTCACACATGTACTGCCGAGGGATGAAAAACCACGCAGCCAGAAGCGTATAGGCTGTATAGGCCCTTTCAGGCTTAGGGGTTGTACTGGGTTGTGTGCTTCTGCTCATGGCTGAAAAAGAGGTGATCTTGGCCATACCAGTGGGACAGGAGTTGGGAGTGGTGTCAGGGTCAAACAGGGGTCAAATACAGCAGGTTTGATGGTTGGACAGGGCTAAGAATCATTGACCGATTGACCCCATTGGATAAACATGCGCCCAACTTATCCAAATGGGTTCATTTTTTATCCCTAACGTATCCAGTTGTACCGATTGTTGTGGGTAAAAATTGCTGCCCTTCTCATTTTGTGATTCCCGGCATCCGATAACTTGGACAGGGCCTGCAATTCCGAAGTGCACATAAAGAGGTGGGACCGATGGGACCCATGGGACCCATGGTGGCGTGGCTTTTTTTCGCTTCCCGAGAGGGGGTCAAGACACATTTGTGGCTTCACAACTTCGGAACAGGTCGCTCAAGCCAGGTCACAACGCAGCTTTTCTACATGTGCAAAAAAGTCAACTGCCTAGCTTTCGTCCCCCTAGGGACTCATCAGGGCTTTGCAGCCGTAAATGCTGCGGAACTCACGCACATGCCAAGGCATCGCATTCAATAACCTAGGCAAGTGCACTTGGAAGACGCTGGACAAGGAAAATTTTTTGTGGTCCCTCCCACAGCCAACCCTTAGACCAAAAATTTCCAAACTTGTTTATATCTACTACGAAACAAATTATGGCCAACACTCCCAGCACGTTAAAATCTGCGCTGCTGGGACAACTTGGCCAAGCAAAGATTGATACCTACGGAGTTTCTGCGAAATCCAGCTAGGAGAGATGTCTCTGTTGAAACGCACCTTCAGAAAAACTTTCCGAACTGAAGGTGACAACGAGCTTTTCCGGCTACGTCTGGTTCGAAAACGCTCCACAAGACGATCAAATCTAGCAAGATCAAAACCTCTGTCCTTCAATCTCCGCCTAAAACTCCGAACACTCGCAAAGCAGTCAGAAGCAAGACGATTGCGTCTCTCACATCTGATAAGACCTCCTATTTGTAGGCTCTTGAAAGCACTAGCAGGATGGTTTGAAGAAGCTGGCACATACAAGTACAGGTTCATCGGTTTCTCAAACATTTTCCAGTGAACTCTGCGACTGGGCAAAATAGAGAGAAACAGGTCCAAGAAGGGAACCTCCCGAACACCTGAGATCTGAAACTTTAAAGAAGGATGCCAGCTCTCAGCCAATTCTACCAGTTTTTGCGCATCAGCAGCCCACAGTATCAAAAGGTCATCAATGTATCTTCTCAAAAACTGCAAATTGCATCCGCCACACTGCAGCATATAACGGTCAAAATGCCACAAGTAAATGTTTGCTAGAATGCCAGCTACAGACAAACCTGTAGGGATGCCACCACGCGGTTCATAAGTGAGACCTTGAAAAGAAACCACGCAAGCTTCCAAAACTAACTCAACGACTCTTACTATGAAGTCTCCCAGAGCAGAGTTGCGGAAGGCACGTTTCAGGAAAGGCCCCACCACAGCTAAAAGGTGCACCCGATCCACTGTAGGATATAGGTTAACGATGTCCAGCGTGACAAACTGCATGCCTGGTAGGCAAACAATTGTTTTAAGCTGCTGCAGCAATTGGTCTGTAGAAACAATGACAGAATCGAGATGGGTGACAAGAGGACCCAACCGTTCCACCAAAAAAGTCGAAAAAGGTGCGAACCAACTGCTTCGTAAATTGCAAATGGGCCTTGAAGAAACCGGTTGCTTGTGTACCTTCACTAAAATGCGAAAAACTCCTACTGAGCTTTCTTGGAACTTGCTGGTCAAAAAATTCTTCTCAGCATAAGAGATGGCTCCGGTAGAAGCAAAAAACTGTACCATCGCATCTGCCCCAAACTTAAGAGCAGCCATTTTGCGTTTCAACTCCAAAGGGTTGACCTGCACATAGCCCTGAGCTAATTGAAGTTGAACTTGATGCACAAGCCACGATCTTAGTACTATACAATCTCCAAGCCTCTTATCGCAGTCTACCACTGCCACAGTGCCAGCATGCCGCCGCAGCCACAACCTCGCCTTTGTGTCAAACCAAGATTGGTTTGATTTGAACTCTTTTGGTTCAAACTGGGTCAGCTCATGAGAGAGTAAGCGAATAAAGGCATTGACTCCATCATTGCCCGGAGGCTCCCAGGTGCTTTTCAAACGACACTTTGAAACATGCCCTGAACTCTTCGGAAAGGTTTTGCAAAAGAGCAGCTGCCTCTTCAAAGAATCCATTCCCGACAAAATGTCCTTGACACTTGAAACACCCTTGGTGGGAACGAACTTTCCGCTTCTGGCAATATGGAGAAGGACAAATTTTGGAATAACGAGGATTTCAGGAGGGACCAGATTGTGTACACCTTTGTATGCTTGCCGATGCATCAGAGAAAAGAAACCAGCTCTAAAAGTTTGCACAACGCAGAACCTGTAAAAATCAATGACGCATCTGTCAGCATCGCACCAATAGGATCTTCGGCCCCTTCCCCTCTGTGCTATTTTCGCTTCTGTTTGCCTTTGCCCTTGCCTTTTCCGTGAGCCTTTCCTTTGCCCTTTCCTCCACCCTTTGCTTCAAACCTCACGTGCTTGGATGAGCCACTCCTTCCACTCGGTGAACGCGAATACTTTGAAGGGGATCGACTTGATGACTTGAGGATGGAGCGCGGGGTGTCAGAGCTTTTCTTCGGACTTCTGCCACGATCTTTCCTGGGGGCTTTTTTCGGAGTAGGCGCCCGCCTGGAAGAACGAGACGTCTCTGAGACAATTTTGACTTTGTGCTTCTTGCATAGCTCCTCATTGTCTTTAACCAGAAAAGCAAGGGCTGAGTCTTCCTTGATGTTGAATGACCTCTTCTGCTTTGCATCCAGGAGTTCAAACAGCGCTGGAGACAAAACATCCTTTACATCCATCTCCTCCCATTTGCTCTTGGCTTCCAAAAGCGCTTGTTCACGTTTCTGCTGCAGATCTTTGTCTTTGGCCATGCGTGTCTGGATCTTTGGTCTCGTTGCTCGTATGAAAGAATCCACAAACTGAGATGCTCTTTGCTTCAAAGCTTCTCGGAGTTCCATGTCGTCATATGCTTGCTCAGCAAACCAGGCATCCAAGCGATCTTGCAACCTCTGCTTCAAAACCGGTAAAGATACCTCATGCTCGTAAATTGCGACGCATTGCTGCTGATGCTTGCAAACAAAATCAAAGCACTCTTCGGCATGTTTTCTCCTCATGCGTGCCCAATCCTCTGCAACATTGTAAGGTACACCCATCATACCCTGATCTGCAGAAATAGGTTGGGCTTTTGCTAGGTACAGCTTTGTCCACTGCCACCTGAAATCAGCCTCAGATTGCAAATGATTGTGAAAACGACCGTCCTCCTTCAGTTTCAAATACTTCTCAAGCAACTTTTTCTGTGTTTCCCATGCTTCAAAAACATGCTTGGCTTCCTTCTCAAACTCTTCAAAGAGTTTTTGCAAAGCTGGATCTACTCCTTCGAGCAACTTGGTGTAAGTTTGAAACAGCTTGCTTTGCGAAGCTTCTTTGGCGCTAACTGCTTCAAAGTGAGCCTGCGATCTCTGCACTTGAGACTGGAGAGCGGCAAGCTGTTGCACGAGTAGCTGATTTTGCTCCAACAGAAGCATTTCAACTCCGCTGTGAGATCCATTTAGACCGTGAGGCCTTTCTGTGCCTGCAGCTGTGAACCGACTAGGGGCAGGAGTTCTGGAAGATTCTCTACCTCTAGAAACAGGAGCACGAAGGTCATGCGTAAAGGCTGGATTCCCAGAGCCCATCATGGCAGAACTAGCACGTGCCACCCCAGCAGATGCTAGCAACCCATGGCTCAAAGGATCACACATGGCGAGCGCCTAAAAGTCTGCACAGCACAACTTCGGAACAGATCGCTCAAGCCAGGTCACAACGCAGCTTTTCTACAACTGCAAAAAAGTCAACTGCCTAGCTTTCGTCCCCCTAGGGACTCATCAGGGCTTTGCAGCCGTAAATGCTGCGGAACTCACGCACATGCCAAGGCATCGCATTCAATAACCTAGGCAAGTGCACTTGGAAGACGCTGGACAAGGAAAATTTTTTTCCTTGTCCATTGGTGTCCCAATGATTGTCATGACCCGTCATACCCGGTTGATATCGGTTGATCACCCAGGTCTTGGGCCACGAACTGCCATGGACAGAGATTGTCGGATGCCGCAAGTGGAGGGGGTCCAGTCATGGGAAGCGACCTGTTTACTTGGACGAAGAAATGGACAAGGAATGACATGGATGGATATGAAACCAATGTGAATCCTATGGCTTTGCAAGACCTGACATCTTTGTAGCTGATCCGTCTTACGATGCAGCTTGGGGTTCGGGCTGAGGTTGATGACCAGCTCAGGTGCGACTCTGGAGTCTGGATATACCTCATGTCTTACTCCTTGGGATTGTGAGCCTTCCAAAAGGTTGAAAGTTGGATCAGGGACTCCGAAAGGACAGATGGAACCAAGAGCGCACCCCTTATTTGGGTCTTGCTGCGAGGTGCTCAGATGGAGTGTGGATCCGAGAGCCCTTGACAGCCCTCGCAGTTTTGGATGGACATAAACCTCACAGGTGCTCTGGGACTAAGAAGTCTATAGAAAGGAGCGTTCCTGAATTGCGCATGTCTTTCACACGAGCAGGCAGCTTTGCAAGTGCTTTGGACAGATCCAATCTCTAGTGATCTCTAGTGCATAATGCAGCCATTTTCGGTTGCAATTTCCCTCTCTGGGATCAGCAAGTCATCCCCGGAGTGGACCCTTGGGCCCACGGATGGCAGGAATGCGACTGGTGAGATTTGCCGGCAGACTATGCCAGCCGACCACCTGCTCTCGTTGGTGGTTGCTTGGCTTCTGGAACTTAGGATGAAAGCCCACAGTTATAGATTATTCATGATTATAGATTAATTATAGATTAATTATAGATTAATTATTCTGAATCCTTCTGGATCAGTCAGCTGTCGTAGTCAACACGTTCAAGAAAGATCGAACTTGCTATGGAAACTGAAACAGTTGGTTCTTTGGGCGACAGTATTCTATCTGCTACTTATACTTTCAGTCCATGTGGACGAAAACCCCTTGTACAGCCGCGGTGCTCAGGTGGTTCAAAGCCGCGGAATGCTGCCAAATTCTATGGATTTGTGTATGCAGTGATGGATGGCGGTGCAGCACGAGATTGGGTCAATCTTGGAGAGCCATGGTATTTGAATTTCACCAAGAGATGCCGATAAGCTTTCATCTTGGAGTCAGCGCAGAGAAGTCCAGATGGTTGTGACATGTTGTGACCTTTTTTGTGTGGTAAGGGAAGTGTGCTTTACACGATTGACACTATTGCTGCGAGCGAACGTACTGCAGAGACAGTACCGCATGCGGGTAGTGATGTGAAATCCAAGTTGACCATAGTCTTAGTCTTCACTTCTGGGGTCTAATGTGTTTGGCTTGCGTTTCCTGAAAGAACTGCTTAGGGTGAAATACCATGCATATCCATGCATTGAGTTCTAAACAAATTCCGCTGATCCTTGGTTTGAAAGCCAACTGACAGACCAGATCCTGTGAGATGGACACTTGACGCTGCATGCTGCGATGTACCGCTAGCATATTGATTGATGCCTAGTGGACTGTAGCGTGAAGCCACCAACACATTTATAGTATAATAATATCATATAATATCATATGATATATAGCTCCTTTGTTCACTTTTGTTCAAAGACCTTGACTGCAAGTTGAACCAAAGCTTTCTTTTATTTCGAGATGATCATACGACGCCAGGAAGGAAGACCACATTCCCTAGACTTGCATGACAATTTGCTTTAGTTCCTAAGCAGTTTAGCTTGCTTGCTCCTTGCCGCTCCTTGCCGCTCATTTTGGCATGGAGAGTAGCAATTTGAGACAATTCGTTCGATGGCCGAAGAGGGGAACGATCAGATCTCGGCCTCGGAACTCATTCCAGTGCACCTGTGCGCGCGGAAGAAAACTACCAGATTCTTGTGGAATTCCCGAGTCAAATGTGGAAAACTACCAAACACGATTTTATATGATTTTATGATGCGTTGTGGCTGGATTTCCAGCCTAGCAGTTGCATGGAACATTTTACGGCTTCAGAGTCCTCCCCAGTTGATTCATTCACTCATTCGGTGTTTGGACATGTATGGAAGTGTTGGAAACTACTGGCTCAAGTCGAAGAAAAAGAGAAAGCATGAACACCAGGAAATCACCATGAAATCCAAGTCTGTAGTGGATGAGCTTCCAGCCCTTCCGGTGCGGTAGCGCCGAGGTCTTATGAGATCAAACTTCATGGACCTGCCGTTCCGGGAGGCATTCTCCGGACAGCCACAATGTTTGCAGAAAGCAACCAATAGCATTCAACACATCCCACAGAGTCACAGAGTGGAAACAACCCCTGCCAACCCCTTTTTGTGCCTACTTCTTGTGCCTATGGATGAAGAGAATGACGGCTTACTGTCGCAAGCAGAGGCAGGGCGGTAGAGCAAGTGGAGTGTTTCGGCCCGCTGCGACACTCACCCAGCGTCGTTGGATATCTTTGGATTTAATCCGCTGGTTGCTTACCTTGGCAATGGAGCCTTACCTATGCACATCGCCCATTGATATCCATTGAATTCCATTGATATGAGTTTTCTATGCAGAATGCCAATCTTCCAAACTCCACTCTGCCGGGGACATCTGACTGAAATGCCAAAGTTTTGGCCTCGCTCTTGAGAAGCAGCTCATATATGAGTCAAGGAAATATCCCAGGATTTGCAGACCATGCATCAAATCTGGCTATGGCTCAAAGTACCTTTGATCATCTGTGATCCCAATGTTGGCTGGTTGTAATTAGCTGGTTATAAACTGACACAAAGTGACCATGACCAAATTTCTGAGTGCACTTGGCTCCCAGTTTGAGCGGCAGCATTTTAGTCACATTCACAGTGGTTTCTGTGCACTGTGCACGCTGGAGAGGTCACCCCGAGAGCTGGCTGGCCAGTCCTTAGGCCTGGAGATATCATGATGATGATGATGATGATGCTGATGATGATGATGATGATGATTGTCATTATTGTTATATATTATATATATAATATCATTATATATTTCCAGTATATATCTTAAATGTATATTTATATAAGTCTATATTATTGTTATTGTCATTATACACTCATATGCCTACCACTACCATTACTGCCGTTAATTAGTCTTTATCATTGTTTTTACCACCATTAGTATCATTATTTTTATGCTTTGTTATTATTGCGATTATTGCTACTATAATTCTGAAGAATTTTCTGCTGGCCGATGGGTCAGACGAATCCTGAAGACATACATCTCATAGTAGTAGCAGAACTAACATATATGACATCCATCTCTTATTGATTCATTGTGACAATGAATGGGACAAGCAGACCTGGAGAGAATGATAGAGACTAAGCAGTTCGTATATAGATGAGACATTGATGCAACAATGCGCAGCAAACAACTGTCAGGATCACCTTTTGGTCCCCGGAAAGTTTTGGGGCAAACGGCAGTTCGGAAAGCGCAAGTTGAGGAGACCTATTCAAGCGGCGGCAATTCTTGGCGCCGCCCTGCTTTTGCTTGCCTTGACCTCAGCTAATGGACTCACTCTGATCTACTGTATGCCAGCTCTTGCATCAAACAAACTACAAGAATGCTCTGAAGGTTGTCCTCAACATTTGTTGCCAAGTACAGACTCTTCAGTTGTGTGTCAAAGGAACACGCACCTCCGTCAGAACGTTGGAACATGGCAACAGCAGCGGGCGGCAAAAACGTCTAGACAATAGCAAAGCGAAAGTGAGAAAGACTGCTTCACGTGATTTTGAGTGTGCAGGCAAAACAGCCAACAAAATCAACAAAACACCAGGGTGTCAAGATGCTCTTCCAGGTTGGCTTGACGTTGGCATCGCCTAGCTTTGCAAGGTGGGAACGACTCTGCAATAGTGGAAAGGGCCTCCAAGCCACCAAAGTTATTCCGAATATATGTGTATGTTATATACATGGAAAATAACTACATATATTATATAATCTGCGCATACACTGTACTCGTAGTATATGTATTATATGTATATATAATTATTTGCGCACACTGTCATACAATATGTATCATTGTTAATATTGTTATATATACAGTATACATACACATCTCTCTCTCTCTCTCTCCCCTCCTTGCATGGTCAGACGTACTTTGGAAACCAAAGACTTGGCAACAAATGAGCGGGGTGCCACATCTATATAGCCTTGTGTGTTGCAACAAGCCTGCACTATCTTCATGCTCTACCTGGAAAAAAATGAAATGCAAATCAAATCAACCAACTTACTATATCGCATATTACAGATTCTGAGTGATTTGAGCATGCCGAGAGGTAAAGCAACCTTAGACGAGCCAATCTCAACATCCCATGAAACCGGTCCATACTTTTTTGGAGGCAATCCATTCTTTCAATGTGACAGGTCAGCGAGACTATCTGGCATTCTTCAGCTTGCAGATAAGGGAATTTATCCTCTCATTAGGCCGTGCACTCAGAGAGGCACTTTGGATGCTGCAGTTGGTGGGGAACAGAATGGAATAGATGTCACACTCAACGGTTTGGTTCGTTTGCTGAGGGGTGGTACCCGCATCTACGGAGAGGATGATGAGGAGCTTTCAGTTTGCAGCTGATTGGCAAGTGAACTAGTAAACATTCACCATTGCACAGCCTCGAATGATCAGGATGCATGCTTTCCATGTAAGCACATTGAGGTTTTGAGTTTGAAACGCTTTTTTAATTGGTTACATAGTCTCTGCTTTACCGCGTGTTTCCTTATCCTTGGACACATCACCTATCTCTGGCTCGAAGCAAAATGTGCCTGGTATCCCAGCTTTCGGGTATGTTCATCTTCACCTGGGCGAACATAGAATCTATTCATCGCACTCCACGTTGTGAATATGCCCTCGTATTGCGTAAGGACCTGCTGTATTGCTGTCGATAGATGTTGTATGATGTTGTATACAACTTGTGAGAATTTCCCCTAGGGCCCTAATGATTTTCACAGGGTTTCTGCCACAGCAATGTGTTTATTTTGTTGTAGCGAGAGCGATCACCCGCACTTCAACCGAATCTTCTTGGAGGATGATGCAGTATGCGTTGGTCATGTTCTCTCCAGCGGTGCCTGGTTGGCTGCTGCTGCATTGAAGGTCCGAAATCAAGAAATGGGACCCCAAATCCGTGGCTGATTTTGGTTTCCCAATGTTTCCCACGGGTTTCCCAAGGGTTTCCCAAGGGTTTGTCAAACTGTTTGTCTTATTTGGGGCACAGCAGCGGTTGCATTGCAACATTTGGAGCTTGCGGAGTGCCCAGTAAAATGTTGACACCTGGGCGCGGCAACTGCCAGATTCATGCGGCGGTCGTCGAGTGTGACCCTAGTAGATATGGAGGCTGGGGTTTTGAATCCTGGTTGAAATCAGGTACTTTGCATGCCCCAATATGCCCCATGTATCCCCCATATGTAGAATTCTGGTTATGGATTTTCGCATTCCTTCTCTTTTCCGTTTTGGCCTGTTAATCAGACAAATCTATTCAGTCTCCAAACGCTTCTTTTAGCTTCCAACCGAAACCATTGTTGAATGTGAGCCATTCTTCTCTGCACGCAGCTAACGTCTCTCAAGAAAGACTTGTCTGGCTCTTATTGTGGCCTTTTTCTTGCCGCTGATGTAGACAAGTCAAAGTATGTACGGTAGGTGTCATTCAGACGTTGAGCCATTGGGGCCATTCGTTGTCAGATTGTGGTTGAGCCTTGTTTAGCCAAGGTCACAGAATATCGGGGAGCGAGGCCTGGGCATGCGCCTCAGTTTCCTGATCACAACGTGACAGTATTTGCATGTACTTGCGGCGTGTGGGAAGCATGCTGAGTAAAAACCTCACCGAGATGCTTCTCACCAGCTCAATCTGATTTGGACAGCATGGTTCTGCATGGTTTTGCAGTAGACCCACAGCTGAAGATGTTCACTCCTTAGATGGCAAACCGTAGGCAGCCGAATTCAAGGAGCTTCGCCTTGCTGAGGCTGTGTGCCCGGGACATCATGGGTCACATGAGAGACCTTGCTCAAACTTCAATGCGGCTTGGCTTGACATTTTTTTTGAGGGTTCGCCAGTGTTTGTTAACCTTGTTGTGCTGCATCCTTTGTCCTTCGAAAAAGAGTCCCACAAGGAAGGCTAGGCATCAAATGTTGTTTCAACAAGGGATGGCTGAAAGAAGAAAATATATAGAATGCTCAAGCTCCCCATGATTTCGAGATTTGTTCGAAGCCGAGGCTCCTGGAAGGTGCGGCCACTGCATGCGGGGAGGATAAAATTGCCTGGAGCTGAATTTGAATCACACAGGCTTACCATAGGCTGCTGCGTCCCACAGTTGCTAGCTTGTTGCATTTTATTAAAACCGAGATTCCATTTGGTTGAAACAGCTCCACCCCAGTCTAGAGGCTTTGACTCTGACAGCATGGTGTGAAGAAAGGAGGGGCAGAAGTCAGAAGGATGTTTGATTTGGCGAAATCTAGCAAGGTAGCTGCCAGGTAGCCCATAGATGCCCATGATCATAATGGAATCTCCAAGGAAAATATTCGCTGCACCACTGCTGTGACAAATACTGTTCTGGCCCCAGCAATCCAAGATTTTTCAAAAGAATCGACTGGAGTTTCACTTGCCGCATTTTTCCACATTTTGCCACATTTGTGTCATCCCCGTGTTCTCCAAGTTGCGGCAATCCTTCCATGCCTCTCGCTTTGCGTCCGAGCTGGACGTGTACTGCCCGTTGGACTGGGCAAAGGGATGAGTTCGTTGATCAGACTGGAGGCAAAGCTATTGAGATCAAGTCCTGCAAAGATGGTGAATTCTTTGGAAACAAATGAGAGAAATTGTTTGAATCAGCAATACGCAGCAGTGGTGCAAAATGCAAAGACAATTTCTCTTCAGAGTCATTTGCTTCACTTTGCGATGGCCTGGCTGATGGCTCAGGAGACAAATATTTTTAGCTTGTACCTTTGCATCAATCGTGTGGAAGGTGGGGTTGAACTGCCTCGGGTCCGTTGATGATGATGATGATGATGATGATGATGATGACGATGACGATGACGATGACGATGACGATGATGATGATGATGATGATGATGATGACGATGACTCATGATGACTCATGATGGTTCATAATGATTCACGAGTATAGATGAGGATTCTTGATGTTTCATGATGATTCATGGATATTGATAACGTGCTGCTACGTGCTGATTTGTGGGGCCGAAACATCATTCTAGCACCTGCATTGCTGCATTGATGCCTCAAGTTGCATCCCTGCCACTGGCCTTGGCGCAGGTGTTGGCTGGGCCCTGGATGCCATGCCCTTTGCTCAGAGACAGTTCACCGAAAGCATTTGAAAGCGGCCTAGAGGATGGTCGTGATCTGTTGATATCTGTTGCAGCTCATGGTGTTCGAAAACATGGTGGCCATGGTGGTGGCCATGGTGGTGGCCATGGGGGCCCACTGGGGGCCCGGCGGAGGCTTGCCGGTATTTCCGCTTCTGCGAGATATTGCGCCGGCACCTCAGATTCTGTTTCGCATAGCTTGGCAACGTGGGTTTGTTCACGGGGGTTACCCTGGGGAAATTGATGGTTGACCGGTTGACCATGGTTGACCATCAAATCAGAAGGGGGCGCCCTGAATTCAGACACACCCACATATAGTTTCTTGCATTTTCTTGCCTTTGTTTTAAGGTTTCCTCAATGCTGTTCTGAATGTGACAGGTTTGTAGTGAGACATACTGAAACACTTTGCATTTCTTTCCATCAGTGCAATTTTGCCAACCAGAATCATTGGACATCCTACAACGTTCTCTTTCACATTAAACCAATGTTTGTGTAAAGATTTGCACTCTGGTTTCTTGGAAGATAAACTTAGTCACATACACTACAGTTGAGATTCCAAGCCCAGGAGCTAATAGTTTCTTGCAAGGTTACGTCGTTCTAAGGGAACGAAAGAGAAACGCGTGCCACAGCTGGACGTCGGCTCCTGTGTTGGCGAGATCTTTGGTGGCGCTGCTTATGCGACTTGGATATATTTGGATCATGCGGGACTCGGACTAAAAAAATGTAGCACTTATCTCGGCTTCAAACATCTTGGTGTGAAAGCAGGTAGGCAATAGATGCTACAGATCGCTGCCAGGAGCTCTTTTGACCACTGTGACATGAACAGTAATACTCCATGCAGCACAAATATTTTGGAGGTGAGTCTTTTCATTGCGTTATCAAACCTTGAAACTCAACATGCTGCTGTCTGACCATTTCTGATGTCGAGGGAACAGGCAATAAGAGGTACTGTAGCCGCTATAGAGGATAGCCGCTATAGCCTGATAGGCTCCTGTTCTGGGCTTAGCTGTGAAGGTAGCAGCCGCTGGCATGAACATCTGGGCCGGCGCAGATTTCGAGTGCATGAGTGCTCAGGTTGGCAGTGCTGACTTTTTTGGCTGAGTGTTTTAATTTTGCAGTGGGCATTTTGGATGTTTTTGGGAGGCAGAGCGCACCTCCCGTTCGAAGATGTTCAAAGATCAGTCATATGTTGTGATATGTTATGATCAATTATGATCAGCTTCAATTGTCATCTTGATTTGAACTCGCGACGTGCACCATTTTCCCCTGTCCGGTGCAGGATCCTCGGGATTTGGTGAATCTGACACAAAAAGAGAAGGCCAGTTATGTTTGGGCATGAAGTCTAAATCTGCCAAAAGACGTCGATTTAATCGTCTTTGCGTTCTTGATATTTCTGTTACATTTTGCGCAGAAATGTTATCCAGTTATCCAGGATGGTCCAATGATCAGCAGCTGCAAAAGTCAGGACAGGATCAACGCCCGTTGCGCCCTTTTCTCTAGTGGAGCGGCTCGCACCTTTGCCATCGCATCATCCAAGGCAGTGCCATGCCGTGGACGGGGAAACATGAGGAAACTGATGATTAACAAGTTGGCTTCTGTTGGATTATATTGGATTTTTAGTGTTTTTTCTCTGTTTTTTTAGCAAAGTGTTGTGATGCTTATGGCTTATGAAATCTTATGAAGCTATTACTGAAACGAAGCCAGGGAGATCACTGCAGTCGGCAAACTCCGTGTATTTTTACGTAGCTTGCGTGCTTCACATCAATTCAAGAAAAAATACGTCCACCGCCAACGACTTCACGGATTACTCTGCAGGATTCCTTTAAAAGGGAACATGTACAGGACAGCCCACAAGATCCATATTTTGCTGGATATATAGATCATTATAGATCCATGGTTTCTCCTGGATTTCCTTTCAAAGCAACGAAGAAACAGGGGTTACGGTAGCAGTTTTTGATGACTTGAATGAAATGGTCGTGAATTCCAAGCCTGTTTAACGCTATGTAAAGTTCGTCGTGTTGTACCTTATCGAAAGCTGGTTTCCAGTCAAGAAAAGTTATAATAAGATTTGAACCCTGTTGTTCTGCGATATCTTGCATACGCCTAGTCAAAAACAGTGCATGTGAGGTACTTCTAGATGGCCTAAACCCATACTGTGTTTGCGTTAACGTGTCCTCAAATACCACCTGAAGCCTCTGCCGTAGCAGAATCATGTAAAGCTTGTAGAAAGAATTTAACAATGATATAGGTCTGTAGTTCGCTGGATCGTCTGTGTCTCCTTTCTTATAGATGGGCAGCAGGTCACAGAGGCAGCTGGACACTGTGGAGCCTCGGGAGTGCCAGCCCCAGAAGAGCTGACTGGCTGCGGTCAAGCAGAACTTGCCCGGAGATTCCAGCTGGTTTGGAAGCCCTCATCCACCACCTGTTCTCGTGCGCAGTTAATCAATTTGATTTCTGTGCCAGAGTCTCTGACAAATCCTTTCGACTCACTCCAACATACTCCAACCATCCTTTGATGCAGTTTTTGTACGTGTTTGGCCTGAAATCTCTGCCGTTTTTGCCGCAGAACACGGCTTGTGGCCGCAGCATGGCTTTGGGAGCGGCCGCTCTTTCTGGTGCTGCAGAGGCACCCTAGATGTTTTGTGTGACTTGTAAATGGAGGCGCTGAGAAATCATGATTGGCGGCGATAATGAGCTGCAATACAATACAACGCAATGCGATTATACAATGTATATTCTAGATAATACAATAAGATGCAGCAAGATACTTCATCAGTTTCAATCTGCCATCAGCTCCATTTTTGATCTGCAGGCAATGTCCATCATGCGCCTGGAATGCATAAGTCCGATGAGCTGCTGCAAAGAGACGACACGTGGTTTGGCGCTTAGGCTGTGCCATGAAGGACGCAGATGTGTGCAGATCTCCATGCCATGGCATGGTGGCGATTTGTCCAAAAAATGAGGTGCCCGGAAACATAGATTTGGATTATTATTCATGAGATTCATGATCTTCTTGGGAATTTTGAGCTAAGCCGTCCAATTTAGGGGTAGCAAACTACACCAATATCACACAGCAGCAGTGCCAAATTCCGCCCTAAAGGCAAGTTCGTATGCGACTGCCGCGGCCCCAGGGTGGCATGATGGCTGCCGTCCAGGTTCCAGTTTGATCTTCAGGGCCTGCCGGCCTCACTGCCAAGATCTGACCATGCACGATGTTAGCAGATCACAAACAGTAGAGACGGCATTCAGCGCAGCATTGTTCTCCAGGCACGGGTCCAGCAATTAAAGACATTCGCAAGGCGAAAAGTGTGTGGCATCAGTGTCAATTTGTATCCCCAAGAATTTCAATATTCCATTTCGATATATTTCCAATATATGCGGATATGTATGACTTTCTTCATATATTCCATTGATGTACATTCCAGTCACACCGCAGGGTACACGTCCAAGTCCATTGCCAGGCGAATCAGGTACTTCGGAAACGATGTGCCAGGCAGCAGCCACATCATAGAACAATACGATATGGGTTAGGTCAGAAATTGGAGGTTTACCACCACTATCCACCGTTTGATGGCTATTGAATAAGAATGATGAACCATGGGATGTACTGGGCGTACCCCATTTTCTGATAGAACCTGGTGTTTTTCCATAGGCGTGACCGTTGGGACCCTTTGCCCCCACATCGGTCGACTCGTAGGTTTACAGGTTCCATGCTCAAGGAGCTGGCTGTGGCCGTGAGCCTTCTATCCGAGGCGGCACGAAGTCGTATCGGGTCATTTCGGGTCGATGTTCAGAATTCGGCACCCAAATCAGCAGAATCAGCAGAATCAGCAGACCCGTTCGACATCTGATATCTTTGAAACTTCTTGCTTTGGAACACGATTCTGGTACAACGTCTGCTCAGTGGTGATTTCGAGATATTCCAAGTATTTCGAGCATTTTGTGTTTTCCAGACCATTTTTTGCAGATGATTAACCCCCTGGACAGCATAATTAATTGGGATGACTCAATCACCAATTGGCATGCTTGATACATACCCTCCGTGACAGGGCGCTAGTGAGTGCACAAAACAAGACACATCTAGCCCTGGCCTTGGTTTTTGCAGATTTCTTTGTCATGAGATCATTCAGCTCTAAGAATTGACAGCTATAGTACTGTACTGGTTCTTAGCATCCACGTCGCAATCATCGTGACTGCTACAATCTCTCTCGCCCCCCCCTCTCTCTCTCTCTCTCTCCCATCTCTATATTATATAAATCGAAAATATATATATAATAATCTGCAAAGTATATATCTATATATATATAAAAGATAAATAAATAAATATATATCTATATAAATAAAAAAGTACATATATCTATACTATCTAGATCACTCAATACACTAATAACGCTCCATACATCGACTCTTACCATAAAATATAATATCCCTCTACTATCTTCTCGATAACTAAGTAATAATATAAATATAAATATACATATAAATATAAATTCTAGCTATCGCTATCTCATATAGAAAAATAGGCAATATCATCGATATCTCTCTCTCACTCTCCTATCACTATCCCTCTAACTCTCAATATCCCTCTCCTCCCTCCCTCCTCCCTCCCTCCTCCCTCCCTCTCTCTCTCTCTCTCTCTCTCTCTCTCCCTCCCTCCCTCCCCCTCCCTACGTATACTGACAAATAGCGAAAAAATACAAAACACGTGTTATTGGCTTTTAGATGTTTTTAGATGTTTAAACTTTAAGCAGGTGTAATTGGACGATGATACGCATTGATACACCTAGGAGAGGTGCTTGTTTATGCTGCTCTGTATGCTTGAAGACTCCAAGAAAATGTCAGCAAACCATGCATGATCAATCTGTTTCAGACTGCCAACCGCACCGAGACTTTGCCTGTGCAAGCTTCGTGAGCGGCGCTTTGGCTGGCTACTTCTTCTTGGTTGAAGCAGCTGCCCAAGGCTGCACTTGAAATCAATTTTCCCGGACAATCATAGAAATCATTACCAACAGAATTTAGGCATCTCCATGTCCAGGACCATTTTTGGCATCAAATCCTATCTGTGTCACCCCGAGGCCATAAGCAGAACAACAATCAGATGCAAGGCGCATGTGAGTTAGTCCTGCACCGCTGAAATCGGATGGTGGACCGGTCTTCTTTCTGAGTCAAGACCATAGTCACATATCATACACCCCTCACTAAACCATGGAAAGTGCAGACCCTGACTTTTTGCCCCAGGAGGATCTCGACCGCTTCTTTTGTTCTCAGGCACATGGTTTGCTGGGCTTGAAATTCTTGGGCTGAGCATTTGAGGATGCCGGTCTAGACGTGATGACTTGTGATGTTGGCACCTGGCTGAGTGTACACTGTGTACACCTTGTTGCCTCAGGACATTGGCTTTATTGGCGAGAGCGTGGATTTGATGACTCACGCAGTAGGAGCTTGGCACCCCAGCCGGACCTGAAGCTGGAATTCAGGGTTGAAAGGGCAATGGAACTTGGATGGCTGCACTGCAAACGTCTTTCTTGCTGGCTTACGATGGCTTACACATGCTTACACACTTAACTTAACCCATACTTAACCCATGCAATCCGATTCGGGCACCTGTCTCTCTGGAATGTCATATTGACACTCCGGCTTGTCCTTCCGAGGCAGCCTTGCGGGATTGCGGTTTTGGAAGCACACCCCGTAAATCAAACTGGTTGAGCTATGGCCGACGCTTTTTCCTACCGTAATTAGGTCTCCGGGTCACCCTGGTCAAAGCGTATTCTTTTAATTTGGGATGTCCTTGGTGCTGCGTCTTCTGGTTGGTGGTTTTGTTTTCTTCAATATAGGGAGGATGGTGACCACAACCAACTAACATTTAATACATTTTTGAGATTGGTCGCTCAACCACCAACCAGTCTTACGTAGGGTCCCAAATGCAAACTATGGAGGTTTCACTTCAGGAAGTCCGATGTGGCTCCAAAAAAGCCCTTCGTGGACCGAGTTCCCGAGGGCTTTGCAAGATTGTGAGGCAGTGATTTTATTGGCACACGCAAATAATGACAAACACAACTATTCCCAAACATAGGTCACTTAAAGCCTTAAAGCTACACTTTTGTTTCCCTGAATCGCATGAATGAAGCAATCGAGCGCCATGTGTTTCATTGCCGACCCCGGAAATAACAGTACAAATTCAGACATTATTAGCTCCATGCTGCGTCCGGGAAATCGGAAGGCAGTTCCTTTCTTTTTTGAATCTTTTGGCGCGCAAAATAGAGCTGTCACCAATGATCCAACGGGGTACTCGTACCTCAACGATTGGTTTCCTCCTTAGAATAACTATTAGTAAATACTACATAATACTGCTGTATGACATAGCTAAACCACCTGGTAGATTTCTTGGGGCCTCTCCATTTTTTGACATGACAGTACTCTGAAGTACTCTGTGTGTGACACTCATGTTCAACAAGGTCAAGTCCACATTGACAGCAACAGACGTGGTCCTCAGTACCATACCATCTTGGATGGACACCATACCATTTGGCGGGATAAACATCCGTAAGAACCAGCTATTTGGATGTTCACAAGGGGTACCAAGCTGTTAGTCCATCTACTGTAAGCAGATCGTAAGCAGATCTTCAGAATTTGTGAACTGTGTCGCTGAATGGCTGACCGGTGTAAATCACATGAAGTTTGATAACCATTGAGCCAATTTGAGCCATGTAGACCCTGGGACGTTCACGAGGCCTGCTGCTACCTGTCAAATTTGCAAAGATGAACATCAGATCATCCAAGAATTGGTGGAGTATGGTGCAGCTGCTGCCATTTTAAATCCTGATTTAAGTGGATGGCACAGAGCCAAACACTGAGGTCTCCAAATGGAGGGATCCTCTGCAGGAGTTCGGACAGCGCCTCAGTGGCTTCATAGGGCTTGGTACCTTGCAGCTTGCAAACATGGGTCTTCAATTCTTCAGATGGCAAGCGTAAAATCAAAAACAAATCTGCCTCTTCAAAAGAAGGCCTGTTGTGTCTACTTTCTTTGCACATCTTTGCACACTTCCTCATTGAATCGAACATATAGTATTATATATACACACAAAATATGTCCAGAAGCCTCACGCTATTTGCAGAGAGGCTTCTTGCATCTGCCATCGGTGCTGGTATCGCTGAGGCAGATTTGAAGATTTGCTATTGCAGTGTTTTGATTTCCTCAGAGACTGCACATTGAATGGTGCTCAGGCGACCACCTTGCCCACAGATGTCGCAAAGGCACCCTTTTGAGAGACAGTATGTGTAAGTTTGTCATAGTTTGTCTGTATAGTCTGCAAATAAACGCATAAAATCTCATACTTAATGTTACTTAATGATGAAAGCCAGCTAAAGGCGTGGGCTGAGTTCTTTTCGCTCACCAAGTGAGTATTATTAGGGGGGTGGGGGCAGAATTGTACCGTTTTGGGAGGGTCAGTTCAGCATAGGGTAGGGGACCGCGAAAATTTCGAGGTTCAAAAATGGCTAAGGAAGGAGCTTGGCTATGCCGCCAAGTGCATTTTTCTGTTTTGCAGTGTTTCTGGTTTGCAAGGTCTTTCGCGTTTTTTGCTCTTGCTTTGCGGTCGTTTGATGCGTTTAGCAGTGTTTCAGGGGTGTTTGTTTGTTTGAGATAGTTTTTGGAAACTTGAACTTGAAAAGCCTTTTCCGAGGGCAGATTGCACAAAACTCCATAAATGCGAGTGTTTAGGGGAAGTTTTGCGCCTCAAAAATTCAGGAAAAGTTCTGCAGAGCATCACTATTGTTTTGTGTTTATGACGTCTTTTTGGGATGGCACTGGGCACGTTTTCTGAGTTCTTTCTTTCTGAACAAAGGGCAGTTAGGAACTTGAGGTTGTTCTGCGCGGATCGACTGGTCTTGGGATATCAGAGAGCATCGCTGCGGCTTGGGGGCTGGCTTTCGTCGCCCCTTATTAGGTCCTAGGTCAATATATTATTTAATATTATTCATTCATATTAATTAATGCACGCATATTTTTTGAATTAAATATATATATATAGTACAGGAACTGTTTCCAATTGACAGTGAAACATACCAATACGGATGGTAAGTATAAGTACGCTGTTTGT